CCCCAACTATACACATGAGAGCTAACGGGGCAAACTTACACGCCTTTTGCTTTCTTCTTCCACGGAAACCGGCCTAGCTATATAGCATTTCCTTGACAGTGCTTGATCACCCATTGAACACCAAAAAGGTTAAGGATCGCCCTCCACAAAGCCGAGGACACAGGGCAATGCAACAAAAGATGATCAACTTCTTCCTCCGAGCTTTTACACATATAACACCAACTAACAAGTGCAATTCCCCTCTTTCGAAGATTCTCAACAGTCAAATCACTCCCCTCGCCGCTAGCCATGCAAAAAAGCACACCTTTGTGGGTGCCTTAGGAATCCAGATTGAGGAGTATGGAAAAGAGGCCTCCTCTCTCACCAACATACTCTGGTAAAAGGACTTTACGGTGAATAGACCATCGCCATGCAAACCCCATCTCCAAGAATCACAAGATGGCAGAGGCATGTCTTGCCCATATAGCAGTGTCAATAAATCTTGGAGCTCTGCAATCTCCCAATCTTGCACGTTTCTTCTAAATGAGAGGTCCCATACTACTCCCCCTTCATGCTCCTTACGAACCTGTTGGACCATCAATTCCTTCTGGTTTGAAACCTCGAAGACGTGGGGAAGGAATCCCTCCGAGTATCCTCTCCACACCACCTATGATTCCAAAAGCTGATTCTCCTTCCATCTCCCACCCTATAAGAGATGTTGCCATTGAAGGATTCCCAATTCTTTATGATGCTCCTCCACATGCCACACCCGAACGGTGTTGTGATTGCCTTGGTCCTCCAACCCCCTCCTGTAAAAGCATACTTTTCTATTATGACCTCCCTCCATAGAGCATGCTCTTCTATGCCGAATCTCCATACCCATTTCCCCAAAAAAGCTATGTTGAACACCCTAAGATCTTTCACTCCAAGTCCACCCCACTTCATTGGGGAAGCGACTATCTGCCAATTCACTAGATGATACTTTCTAGTTCCATCCGCTGCTTCCCAAAGAAAATTCCTTTGAAGCCACTCCAGTTTTTCTGTGATGCTCACAGGAGCTTGCAACAGGGACAAGTAATAGGTGGGCATACTCGATAAAGTGCTTTTAATGAGCACTTCCTTTTCGCCTTTTAACAAGTACTGTTTCTGCCAGCCTGCTAATCTTTTTTCAACCCTTTCGATCACTGGATTCCAAACAGTAGTATCCTTATGCGAAGCGCCCAATGGGAGACCCAGGTAAGTAGTGGGAAGGGAGCCCACCTTACATCTGAGAACATAAGACAAAGCATCAATGTTAGCAACCTCACCCACCGGGAAAATCTCACACTTGCTGAGGTTGATTTTGAGACCTGATACTATCTGAAACCACTGCAGGACCTGCTTCAGGTAGGTCAACTGATCCATATCGGCATCACAGAAAACCAGGGTGTCGTCCGCAAAAAGCAAATGAGAGACTCTTCGGGCACTAGGCATCCCGATCGGAGTTGAGAATCCTCTCAAGAAGCCTCCGCCCGCCGCACGATCCATCATTTTACTCAAAGCATCCATCACTAGAATGAATAGCATGGGGGATAGGGGGTCTCCTTGCCTGAGACCCCTGGAGCTGCCAAAGAAACCATACGGGCTACCATTAATCAGGACAGAGAATCTGACTGAGAAAATGTAGAACTTGATCCATCCCCTCCATCTTTCCCCAAACTCCATCCGCATCATAATGAAATCCAGGAACTCCCAATTGACATGGTCGAAAGCCTTCTCAAGGTCCAACTTGCATAGTAAGCCGGGATCTCTATTTTTCCTTCTGGAGTCTACAAGTTCATTTGCCACCAAAGTGGCATCCAGGATCTGCCTACCTTCCACAAACGCATTCTGGGAGGATGAAACAGAAACGTCAAGAACCTTCTTGAGTCTATTCGAAAGCACTTTAGAAATAATCTTGTAAATGCTCCCCACGAGACTAATAGTCCTGTAGTCACTGATACAAGATGCACCTTCTTTCTTAGGTATAATAGTAATAAAAGAAACATTGATATTTCTCTCGAAAGGGGATATCCAGTGCTGCAACAACTATAGGGGTATCTAGTGCTGCAACAACTATAGGGGTGGAGTACAGTGGTGCCCTTGTACAAGAACAAAGGGGATATCCAATGCTGCAACAACTATAGGGGTATCAAATTAATAAGTCACACCATGGAGGTTTGGGAGTGAGTGATCGAGGCGAGGGTGAGGGAGATGACATCTATATCTGTGAACCAGTTCGGTTTTATACCGGGTCGCTCCACTACAGAAGCTATCCACCTTGTCAGGAGATTGGTGGAACAATTCAGGGATAAGAAGAAGGACTTGCACATGGTGTTTATCGACTTGGAGAAGGCGTATGACAAGGTCCCTAGGGAGGTGCTATGGAGGTGCCTGGAGGCGAAGAGCGTGCCGGAAGCCTACATCAGAGTAATCAAGGACATGTACGATGGAGTTAAGACTAGGGTTAAGACGGTGAGTGGCGACTCAAACCATTTCCCGGTGGTTATGGGGCTCGATCAAGGATCGGCGCTTAGTCCTCTCTTGTTTGCCTTGGTGATGGATGCTCTAACCCGTCATATTCAAGGGGATGTGCCTTGGTGTATGCTATTTGCTGATGACATAGTCTTAATAGACGAGACGAGGGTCGGTGTTAACGAAAGGTTAGCGGTATGGAGACAGACTCTCGAGTCTAAGGGTTTCAAAATAAGCAGGTCTAAGACAGATCACCTGGAGTGCAAGTTTAGCGCCGAGCCGAGTGAAGTAGGCAGGGACATGAAGATTGGATCTCAGGTCATCGCCAAGAGGGTCAGTTTCAGATATCTTGGGTCGGTGATTCAGGGGTACGGAGAGATAGACGGGGATGTCACTCACCGTATGGCGGGGTGGTTGAAGTAGAGGCTTGCATTAGGAGTCCTGTGTGATAAGAAAGTGCCACAGAAACTCAAGGGGAAGTTTTATAGAGCTGTGGTTAGACCTGCCATGCTGTATGAGGCAGAGTGCTGGCCGGTGAAGAACTCTCATGTTCAGAGAATGAAGGTTGCGGAGACGAGGATGCTCAAGTGGATGTGCGGGCTCACCAGGCTAGATAAGATTAAGAATGAAGTTATTCGAGAGAAGGTGGGGGTGGCCCCAGTGGATGAGAAGATGCGAGAAGCGAGGCTCAGGTGGTTCGAGCATGTGCGGAGGAGAAGCCCTGATGCCCCGGTGAGGAGTTGTGAGCGGCTGACGGTGGTTGGCGCGAGGCGAGGCAGAGGGAGGCCTAAGAGGTATTGGGGAGAGGTGATTACGCAGGACATGGCTAGAATGCGGATTTTCGAGGACATGGCCCTTGATAGAAAAGTCTGGAGGTATCAGGGTTGTAGGATAGGGGCTTCTAGAATTTTTCGTACTCCTTTTCCGGGGTTGGGTGGGGCTTGGTAGGGCTCTCCGTAGATGATTTGTGTATTGGATTGTGTTCCCTTATGGTAGTTATTTATTGTAGTTACTGTTAGATATTATTACATGCCATTTTATCTATACTTCTTATGTTTAGATAACTATTTATGCGATTTCTGCTGGAGTTACTAATGCTCTTTTGTTTTTGTTTTTGTTTTTGTTTTTCCTTTCCTTCCCTGAGCCGAGGGTCGATTGGAAATAACCTCTCTGCCCTTTCGGGTAGGGGTAAGGCCTGTCTACATATTACCCTCCCCGGACCCCACTTTGTGGGACTATACTGGGTAGTTGTTGTTGTTGATGATACTTCTCTCGAAAACACCATTCGTATGGAAGTATTTAATGGCTTCCATCTACTCCCCCTTGATGGTGTCCCAATAGAGCTGGAAGAAGGCCAAGGAGAAACCATCAGGGCCGGGGGCCTTATCACCAGCACTACTCAATAGCCTCGTGCACCTCCTCCTCCTCAAAAGCCCTTTCTAGCCACTCACTGTCTCCCTGCTCTATGTGGTTGAACTCTATTCTCCCCAAAGTCGGCCTCCAACTAACTTCCTATTTGTATAAGTTCTCATAAAACCCTATTATCGCCCCTTTTTACCTCCTCCTCTCCCTCAACCCTCACCCCATCCACTACTAAGGACTCTATGAAGTTTCTTCTTCAATTTGCAACTGCCACCCTGTGGAAAAATTTGGAATTCAAATCCTCTTCCTTTAACCATAGCGCCCTCGATTTTTGCCACCAACTAGTCTCCTAAGCTATTGCTAACTCAACTATTTCCCTCTTAACCTCCCCCAATCTCTCTTTCTCAGATTCATCTAACTCCCTCGCCCCTTCCCCTCTCTCTAGATCCCCCAATTCATGCATAAGCTCCCTCATTTTAACCTTCACCCTCCCAAAAACCTCCGTTTTCTACCTAATAATATCTCCCTTGAGCAATTTGAGTTTCTTCGAAAGGCGGAATGAAGGTGTCCCTGATACCCCATAGCTTGTCCACCAT